GAGTGTCCAAAACACATACAAGAACACAGGGTTTCGCAGCATTGATTTTCAACAAACAGCATACGCGCGCGCTCTTGCGAAATCTGAAGAAAACCAGAGGGTTGCCAATATTTTCAAACAATACTACCAAATGGGGTTCGCGCGCGCATGTCGAAATCATTCGAACGCCCTTGCGCGCGTGTCATCGCGAGAATCCCCTGCAAACAAATTGGACGAAGTGCACACGCGCGCGTCGTCGCTTGCGCATGCCGAAATCCTTCAAAACGCTTTGGTGTCGGAAGGATTTCAAAATCGAGTGTCCAAAAAACGCAAAACACAGGGTGTCGCAACACGGATTTTCAACAAAAGCGTGCGCGCGCGCTGTTGCGTCGTCGTCGTCGTCGTCGTCGCCGTCCTCCCCCTCCCTCGTCGTCGTCGTCGTCGTCGTCGTCGTCGTCGTCGTCGTCGCCAGCGTCGTCCTCTGTCTTTCCTCGTCGTCGTCGTCGTCGTCGTCTTGGCGTCGTCGTCGTTTCCGTCGTCGTCGTCGTCCCCGTGGTCGTCCTTCCTCCCTCGTCGTCTTCGTCGGCGTTTCGTCGTTGTCCCTCCTATTTCGTCGCCGTCGTCGTCGTCGTCGTCGTTGTCGTCGTCTTCCCTCCTCCCTCGTCGTTGTCGTCGTCGGCGTCGCCGTCCTCCCTCCTTCTTCGTCGTTCGCGTCGTCGCCGTCGTCCCTCCTCCATCGTCGTCGTCGTCGTTGTCGCCGTCGTCGTCCTCCCTCCTCTCTCGTCGTCGTCGTCGTCGTTGTCTTCGTTGGCGACGTCGTCGTCGTCGTCGTCGTCGTCGTCGTCGGCATCGTCGTCGTCGTCGTCGTCGTCGTCGTCGTCGTCGTCGGCGTCGGCGTCGTCGTCGTCGTCGGCATTGTCATGGTCGTCGTCGTCGTCGGCGCCGGCGTCGTCGTCGTCGTCGTAGTCGTCGTCGTCGTCGTCGTCGTCGTTGTCGTCGTCGTCGAAGTCGTTGAAGACGTCGTCGGTGTCGTCGTAGTCGTTTTCGGCGGCGTCGTCGTCGTCGTTGTCGCTGTCGTCGTCGGCGTCGGTGTCGCTGCCAAATGCCATTTGGTACCCACCGTCACGGATTCAAGAGGTCTTGCGACCAAGTTGCGGGTGGGAGGGTCGGATGTTTGCACGAGCAGTGGAGAGGACAGCTTCAAGTTGAGCAAGTGATTGATTGCATCACGTAGATATTCACCACGTACATTGCACCACGAAAATTGCACCACCTAGATTGCACCGTGTATTGCGCCAGTTCGATTGCACCACAAGAGAGAGAGAGAGAGAGCGAAAGAGAGAGACAGAGAGAGCACCCTATGTAGTAGACAGATATTGCGAGTTGGATCGGGCGCCAATCTGAAACCGACAGTTGCGCTCATTCTCCAATCTCCTCATTTCCCAGAAAGGGCGGTCTATGAGTTTCTTTGTTCATGCTCATCGACGGTAATAACGATACTGTCGTCAACGCACGGTTGCAGCTGAAGAGTCTCGCCAGGTATCAACCACTACGGCACTGGCTTCTCCCACTACACCCCTGGCAGGTGAGGATGTGTTCGGGGGCAGGGTGGCGCAGTGAGAGAGCATTACGGTATTGGTGATGGCATCCTTCGATTGCGGCGCAGCACGACAGGAGCGCAGGTTGCACAAGCCATGCGGATGATGGTGATAGCCTTTTACGGCAGGGGTAGCAGTGGGGGCGACATTAGGGTCGTCGGCGCACATCGCTTGCCTTCAAGATTCCTGACAACGTTCACCTTCCATGATACTCATGTTAGGCAGACGTCGAAGAAGAAACAACGCCATAAACATAAACTTTTGGCGCTTCGCGCAGAATTCTTGGATCCGCGCTGGGGCCTCCTGGCGGCGCCTCTGGCGCCGCCCGGAGGCGGATCCAAGAAATCCACGCGGAGCGCCAACAGTTGATGTTTATGCCGTCTTTCATTCTTCTAAGACATGGGAACTCGTTCTGGGGCCTTCTAATATCGTTCGAGCACTCTTTGACGCGGCCGCGGCGCCCAATGCACCCCATGCACCCCATGCACCCGCCTGCTCTCAGAGACCCTCGAGTAATTCGCACCCGAACTGCTCGTACCCTGTTTTCGCCTCACGACTCCAGGTCAAGCCCGGGCGGCTGATGGTTCTGCCCATCTCTCGGGGGCGGCAAAGAGGGGACTGATGACTAGGGGTGGGTGGGTGTCATGGCGTGGGCCATGACATCTCCTCAGATTTCACGGCGTCTCTTCTTGTTTCGTTACGTCCCTGCCTCCCCCCTTGGGGCCGCGCACGTGCCGCCTGCCATGATAGGCGCCCCCCCCCCCCCTGCCCCTTGGACGCCCCCCTCTTGGCCGACCCCGAATCTCGGGGCGAACGGAGACCATTTTTTCATCCCCTGGCTGCAGCAGGCGTGGCCGCGGGGGTGGGTTTGGGGGAGGGGTGGCGGCGACGTCGCGGTATTCGCGCCTCCGCCGTCTGGGAGTGCCCATGAAGGGCAAAGTCTTGGACGGCGCTGGCGCGAGGCATTGCTTGATCATGGGGGGCGGGTGGTGAGCAGGCTGCGGGGGGGGGCAGGCCCGTAACGGACGTTCTCGCGAGTTAAGAACAGATGGACTCGAGGCTCTCGAAACCGGGTCGGGAGCCCGGCTGATACGCAGATGCGTCAAGGCTCCCCTCCCGTCTCGCTCGCGAGGACGTGCCTATACCTCGGCTCTGCCTTCTTCGGTCAGGTTCTGGTCTGTTCCACGCATCTGGAGATGGCATCTATGCGCCACCATGCCTGGCCAGGGCCATCCTGGACCATCGACCAAAAAACAAACGGCACCACCCCACCTACTGCCCTCTATGCTGCGCCAGGACCCAGCGGGGGCCGTAGCGCACACCATGCAAGAACCCGCGCCAGAGTTCTCTGCACACGCTGAGACCCGTGGGGCCGTGGGTGGGGTGGTGCCGTTTGCTTCCTGGTCCAGGCCATGCCTGGCCAGGACGAACAGGTCAGACATGGGCGCCTTGCCGTTGCGCTCCGCCGTGCCCGCGCTGCCCTCTCCCCTGGCGGATCATACTCCCCCCCCCTCCCTCTGGCCCCCCCCCCCCCTTTTTACATCCAGGATTCCACAAGTGGGTCTTTCCCCTGTTTCTCTCGGTCGGCACGTCTTCGGTGTCTCAAAACGGTGCTGCCGCTGCAGCGGTGGATCGGCGCGCTGCTCCCGTCGCTCGGCACGGCGCCGCCGCCCTGGCGTGGGGCACTCCGCTCTTCGGGACCCGGGTCCTTCCTCGTGGCTGCCGCCCCCCTCCCTTGCCCCTCCTCTGCATTCCCCTGGTCCTCCTGCTCCCGCTCCTTCCACTCAAGATCTTCCTCGTTTTCTCCTCCTCCATCTCCTCCTCCTCCTCCTCCTCCTCCTCCTTTGCCTCTTGCTCACCCTCTTGCTCTTCCGCCACCTCGTCCTCCAATGAACGCAGCTCCCTTCCTCCTGGATCCGAGTCCTTCTCGCTGTCGCCCCCCCCTCCCTTGCCCTGGGCCCCGCTCGTGGGCTGTCGCGGTCCCCGCGTGGGCCGTCGCCCCCCTCCCCCCCCCCACCCGGGCGCCCAGCAACGCCCTCCCGCCCTTTTGGCAGGTGGATCTTTCAAGCTCTCCGCCGCCCCTGGCGGTGTGCCTTGCGAGTAGGAGCGCAGCACAGCCGCAGGAAAGCGCGGCATCGACAGTGCAGCTCCGCACACCTGACACATGTTGACGAGCAGGAGCACAGCAAAGCCCCCCACCCACCCGGGCGCCCAGAAGCGCCCTCTCCCGCCCCTCCCCCCCAGTCGTGCCGGGCGGACCTCCGGCCGACTCGCCCAGCCCCGGTGGACACCGGACCCGCGAGGGGTCTGGTGCCGGGGGGCCCCGGGTTCGGGGGGAGAGGGGGAGAGAAGGGAGAGGGAGGGGGCTCGCTCTTCCTCTCCCCTCCCTCCCCCTCTCTTCCCCCCCCCCCCCCCTGTTCCCTTCCGCCACTACTCCGTGTGACTGCTGCAGTTCTCCGCTCTCGTTCGGGGGGAGGGGGAGAAGGGAGGGGGAGGGGGCTCGCTCTTCCTCTCCCCTCCCTCCCATTCTCTTCCCCTCCCCCCCCCTGTTCCCTCCCGCCACTACCCCATGTGACTGCTGCAACTCTCCGCTCTCCCCCGCAGGATGGCCGGGGAGAGGCCCATCCGGCCCCCTCCCGCGTGTGGCTTTCCCAGCATGCGGTCGGCCCAGATTAGTAGGTCGACCCTGCCAGCTCCAGGGTACCCCAGATTTCGTAATAAAGGGAGGGGGGTCTCATTTCGGGGGGGGGTCTCTTCCAGGCTATCTTGGAGGGCCTGGGGGGTCTGGGGACGATGTTTTGGAGGGTTCTCCCACGGGGGAGGTCTGAAATGGCTTGTCCTGGAGGGTCCAGACCCCCTCCCTTTTATTACGAAATCTGGAGTACCCTTGTGCCCTGTGCCTCGCGACATGTGCCTTCTGACTCTCCTGTGGCGGTGTGGCCCTCGGCAGGGTCTTGTGTCCTCTCGCGTGTCCTGTCCCATCGAGGCCGACTGCAGGATGTCAGTCTTTGGTATATCATGTGGTGTGTTTCCCTTCCGGTCGCCTTCGGTCCTTCAAGAGTCCGACGAAGGCATCTATACACCACCACCGTGCCAGACCAGGGCCATCCTGGGTCGCAGGATGGTGTATAGACCCTCCTGGCTCGGCCAGGAGGGCGTACACACCATCCTGGGGCCCAGGATGGCCCTGGCCTGGCGCGGTGGTGGTGTATAGATGCCTTCTGCGAAAAAAAGGTGCTGCTGCTGCAGCGTCGGCCTCATGTCGGCGCTCTGCCCCCACGGTTCAGGAAGGGCGCTCTCGCCCCGGCGTGGGCCATTTCTCTTGGCCCCTCTCCCCTCGCCTCCCCTCCCCTCTTTCCCACCCCCTCTGCCCCTCTTGGGGAGAGGGGAAGAGGGGGGTGGGTCTTGAAGAGGGGGAAAGAAGGGGGGGGGGGCAAGCGAGATGCGTTCGCACCAAATCTGAGATCCTACCCTCCCACCCATCCCTTCCCCCTGCGCCTTTTTTTGTTTGTCTGTATCCGCCGACACTTGTCATAGCGGACCTGGTATTTCAAGAAGGAACCCATCGTGTTATGCGCAATCGGAGAAAGAAGCTGCGTTCATTGTAGGACGAGGTGGCGGAAGAGCATGAGGGTGAGCAAGAGGCAGAGAAGGAGGAGGAAGAGGAAGAGGATAATGAAGAAGATCTTAAGTGGAAGAAGCGGGAGCAGGAGGACCAGGGGAATGCGGAGGAGGGGAAAGGCGGGGGGCGACAACGATGAGGAAAGACTCGGATCCAGAAAAGTGCCCAAGCTGCGGCGGTAGCGTCATTCTGAACGACGGGAGCAGCGCGCTGATCCAACACTGAGGCCAACGCTGCAGCGGCAACACCATGCTAAGACACCGAAAACGTGCCGACGAAACAAATCTAGGGAAGACTATGTTTTTGGGAATCTGGAGTGTAACACATCAGTACGCGGAGGCAGGCAACTCCCCAGCCATCTTCGGGGGAGAGGAGACTAGTACTTGCTGAAGGGGAAGAGAGGGTGTGGGAGCCAGGTGATTTTCGCGCCATTTATCACATCCTACCCCTCCCACCCATCCCTCTTCATTGCGCCGTTTTTTTGCAATGTCCGCCGAATGGTGTCACAGCGTACTTGAACCTCCAAAGGACCTCATTGTGCCATGCACAGTCGGGTAAAGGGAAGCTGCGTACGTAGGAGGACGTGGAGGAGGAGGAGGAGGAGGAGAGGAGGAGGAGGTGTCGGACGACAAGGAGGATGGGCAGGACGAGGAGGAGGAGGAGGAAGAGAACGAGGAGGAAGAGGAGGAGGATGAGGAGGAGGATGAGCAGGAGGAGGAGGCGGAGGAGGAGGAGGAGAAGGATAACAAGGAGGAATGCACATAACACGCTGAATAAGAATACGACTAGCATTAATATACAAGGGAAACAAGACAACGAATACGAACCACACGAGAAATATTAATCATAATTCTAATAAACACACATGCAAAGCACACCACTAATAATACGACAACGAATCATATCACGAGCTGTACTAGTACTAAGATGAATAATACTACTGAAAAGAAGACTAACAACAACATTACTGCACATCTTTATGATCATCAGTCTCAGACGACTTATATTACAGTGCCGTTTTTAATACATGCTCCGCGTGCGGATCATGTATTACACATGCAGGTAAATATGATTTAAACCAACGCTGAGTTCGTGCATACAATTATTCATACATTCAGCATGTTATACAACTCCAATTTTTCGTAAGAAACAAATGAAGTAGACACTGCCCTGTACTAATAACCAGCATATGATATTACCGATCGTGCAGCTAAGTCTACGGCGACTACTAACACGAAGAAAACTGATACGAATGCTAATCATAGTGCGCAGTCGAAGACTTAAGCATTGATAGTACCAGTACTAATACGAATGTTAATGCTACCATTAGTGCGAAGAAGCATATTAGTAATACTAACTGGGAGACGTATCAGACTACGACTACTGCGACCACGAATAATAGCATCTTGAAACATAGGAATACGAGCAATCGTAATACGACACATACGGTTATTGATATCATGGACAATTATACGAATGCGACTTGTACTACTATTAACAAGAACATTGCGATAATACGATTAATCGTATTGAAAAGACGAGTCCCATCGAGAGGAAGAGTAGTATGAATGGTACTAATAATAATAAGGACACGAATGCTAACACGAACCGTTGTACTAATAGTACAAGTCATAATGCTATGCGTAACAGTAATAACAATACTAATACTGATACTATGAAGAAGAAGAGGCGTAATGATGATCATGTAATAATAATCATATCGCTATACTAATATGAATTATAATGATACTACTCAGAAGAATAACACTAATGATAAAGATGAGGATGAGGAGGAGGACCAGAGTAAACCCAAGAGTCATCAACGATGTTGGAATAAACCCTTCCTCCAAGCTCCCTCTTCATAGGCCCCTACAACGGTTCATTCCCATTGAGAGAACTGCTTCGTTTGAAGACATCCGTTTGAAGATCCTGAAGCGGGCCAACATGTTTTTCTCGGGATTCCAACGCTACGTATCAACCTGACTGCTGCGTCTTGTCGATCCAAAATCGTGCCAGAACGCCATATCGGGACTTCAACACCGCGAATCAACATAACTGTTGCGCCCGCATAATCATGGATCCTTCCAAAACGCCATTCCTGGTACGTTGATCATGGTAATCCGTGCGTCTCTTGCACATCTTTAAAACGAATGTGTGCGGCGCTAAGGTGAGAGCCACATGTTGAAAAGGAACCGCCCCCAATCCGTGAAACTCTTGCAAATTTTTGAAATGAATGTGTGCGGCGCTCAGGCGAGAGCCACATGTTGAAAAAACGACCCGCCCTGAGTTCGTGAAGCTCTT